CCTTCCTCCTGTTATTGATTTCTAGTTTCACACCATTGTGATTGGAAAAGATTCGTGACGTGCTTTCGCTCTTCCGAGACCTCATCCCCTGACCCCACATCCTTCCACACAAAAGCCTCTTACTGAGATCAGCGAACACCTCCCTTAGACCTCTGGATTCTTGCTCACCCTTCATTTTATCCCACATGGACTTTCTGGTCCCTTGGTTTTGCAATTCAGAATATGTGTCCAGGGGTTTTCAAATAGGACTGTTTCACAGGATACTTAGTTTGCCACACTGCCAGAAAGCAGGTGTCCAAAGAAAACTTCCTTAATTAATAGAAGATATCTGAGGGGCGCCTGGGTGGCTCAGTTGGTTAAGCAACTGCCTTCGGCTCAGGTCATGATCCTGGAGTCCCGGGATCAAGTCCCGCATCGGGCTCCCTGCTCAGCGAGGAGCCTGCTTCTCCCTCTGACCCTCCCCCCTCTCAGGTACTCTCTCTCTCATTCTCGCTCTCTCAAATAAATAAATAAATCTTTAAAAAAAAAATAGAAGATATCTGTAAGAAGTCAACAAAGAGGGGTGCCTGGGTGGCTCAGTCGGCTAGGCATCCAACTCTTGGCTTCAGCTCAGGTCATGATGTCAGGGTCGTGGGATCAGGCCCCGCATCAGGCTCCATGCTCAGTGGGGAGTCTGCTTGGGACTCTTTCCTTTTCCCTCTGCCCCTCCCCTTTGTGCTCTCTCTCTGAAATGAATAAATTTTAAAGAAAGAAGTCAACAAGGAAAACACAGCTCAATGATGGGACGTTAGAAGCAGGAACAAGACGACATGGTTCCCTACTTTATGTGGCACCAACTCTTGTTCTCACTTGCAGAAACTCCTATGCACAAGGAAATACTGTGGGAGGTACATTCCCACATTTGGTGGGAATGAGGAGGGCCTTGGACACCCTGCAAAGGAACCAGGATGCTTTGCATGGAAGGTGTTTATTTAGAGGAATAACGCGATCTGACTAGTGGTTGGGGAACATCGTTCTCTGGCTCAGAGGATGGACTGGAGAGGCGAGAAGTCAGGGTCTCAACAAGTCCTCAGATGGTAACAAGGACAGGCTTGGGCAGAACATGAGGTGGTGGGATGGATGGGAAATTGCAAGCTGAGTGCTGGTATGCGCCCTTCACGTTTCTAGCCCTGGAGTCTGGGGTCCTGGTGTTGCCTTTCATCAAGACAGAGCACACACAGGAAGGATTGAGCGGAAGAGGATACTAAGGGAAGGAATGTGGCCTGTGTGGTGTTGGTGCTTAGCTGTCCAGGAGGCAGAAGGTTGAGTCTTAAGGTTTTGAGATAGTTGGGAAACATCAGCATAAAAGTGGGGAAAATAATTTGCAATTCAGAACAAAATCCTATTGCATCATTTTGTGCCTTGTAAGTGTTGGGTCATTCATCTCCTGGGTAGAGAATGCTGTTGTTTGGGAAAACAATTTGGTTGGACATCTAGTTTAAGGAAAATAAAGACTATCTCAAGGAATGCCCTAACAGGAGAGTAAGAACAGAGGAAAATTAAGTACTTGGTATAATAAAGTGAGAGTCCGAATCCCCTTGAACAGCTTTGGATAGAGCTGGGGAGAAGCCAGACAAGTGGGAGAAAATGGGGGTTTGAGGAGCACTTGGGAAACAGAGTCAGGTCCCTAAGGATGGACACGACCAACGAGGAACCCCGATGATGAGCAATGGCAGATGTTTTGGGGAGAGGGAGGACTGATGCTCAGATGGGAGTGGCTTCCTTCTCCGTGGTACATGCCCTGTGTGACCTCTGGGGCTTCCGCAGGTGGCCCCGCAGTCAGCCTCGTGCCGGGGCAGCCCCCTGGGGTCAGCATGGGGAGGGCTGGCTCAGGAGGCATGCGACCCCTCCAGGCCACCTTGACCTAGCGTGCCTCAGTGACTCCGCTTCTTGTAACCAATCTGCATGCCATCTGTTGAAATCCTTGGTTTTCCCAAACCAACGCAAATGCCACCTCTGTGGAGCACTCCCAAATCCCCCCAGAGGGACCGTACGCTGCGTCTGCACACTGTACCTGTTTCAGCAAACACTTGCCTCGCTTGGTCTCACTCTGACGTTACTTCTGCGTCAGTCTCTCTGCTGCCGGCCGGCTCCTGAGCACCTCTGGGTGAGAATATGCTTGTTCTCAGCCCTCAGGGCCTCTAGCCCCTCCTGACAGGGGCACAGTCTGCCGTTCATGCCAACTTGAGCCGTCTGGTGTGGGGAACAGTATTTCTAATTGTCAACTCACAAATCGGCATTGTTAATACCAGTTTTGTGAACTGAAACTTGGTGAATGGGAAGGATTCTGCTCTTGGTGTGCCCGACGAAGGCCATACACGTGGTCAAACTCAAAGTGCGGGAATGAACCGGGTATCTGGGGTCTCATTCTGCTGCATCTGCTGCTGAGAAACTGCAAGCAGCATCCAGACATGGAGAAAACACTGGTAAGGGGACCCCGGCATGCCTGGCAGGTCTGTGGTGGCTGTCGGCCCCTTTAGGCGAGGTGACAGAGGGAACTGCCACCACGTAAATTAGTTACCCAATTTCACTGGGAAGGACGGGACCTAGTGTCAGGTCCTGGAATGGGCTGAAAAGTAAGTGTACGTGGTTCCCGTAACGGGCCACAGCGTCACAGCATGAAGCAAGAGGATCAGACCTACAGAGACCCTGGGTGGTAGCCAGTTCATCAGGGAGCCCCTGGACAGGAACACATGGGCAGGGACTGAGGTCACCCTTGGTCTGAATAAGCGAACTGTCCCCACGGCTGGTGGACAGAGACGTCACTACACAACCACAGCCCTCCCCCCAATTCCCAGGACTGAGCCAGCTCACAGACCCAGAACGTCTCTCCTAGAGGGATGGCTGGGTCCCCTGACCCTCAAACAACAGTGGGGAGGGCACAGTAGAGACCTACAGAGTGACTGCTTTGCTCCAAGATGGTAAAAATCCAAAAGCAATATTGCTTTAATGGGAATTCCGGAGAGGAGTCATAGGACCTGTGCCCGTCTGACTATGAAGAAGGCACACGGGTGTGGTGGGTGGCCATGGGCTGTCACACATTTAATCAGATCAGAACCCAACTGCAGACGCTGCCCCACGCAGGGTGGGTCCCCTACTGGAACAGACGGCCCCAACGACCACTCCGGCGCACCTCCTTGTACACCTGCTACAGGACCTACCAGAAGCAGCCTGTGCACCTCCATGGTCGCGTACAAGGGCCGGTCACCCGTCCAGCGCTCGAGTATGCTGGGGACCCGCAGACACCGACGCTCTCACCGCCGGCCTCTGGGGCAGAAGCGTGAGGATTATCCTGCAGATAACTGTCCTCCTTTGGGCTCTGGGCTGCCTTCCAGACGCCGGGACAGACTCGGACACTGCACTTCACCAGGGATACCTGGTTCCCACAGGACTTGAGCTGGTCAGCACACCGGCTGACCCTTCGCGGCCTTGGGCTGGCCAGTCGCTGGAGCATGTCATTGTTAACATACAAGACTGGGCTCAAGCGTGTCCTGAAGGCACTGCAAGCAGATGGCTCAGTCTCCCAGCACCTGCGGCAACAACGCCCTCATCGTGTGCCCGTGGTCACCCAGAGTTCCCTCTGAGCGGCTGCCGGTAAAAAAGGTTTTTTGGGTTTTTTTTATTAAGATTTTATTTTAGAGAGAGGGAGAGAGAGAATCTCAAGCAGACTCCACACTGAGCACAGGGCCCAGCACAGGGCTCCGTCTCACAGCCCTGAGATCATGACCTGAGCCGAAACCAAGAGTTGGACGCTCACCGCCTGAGCCCCCCAGGTGTCCCACCTGTAAAAAAGTTCTACTTGATTTCTGAAGAATAAGGCTGGTACCACCTAAAGGTGAAGATTGGTGGCACGAGGGCCCCAAGGGCGACCCTGAGAGCAGTGTGGGAGGGGGCCGCAGGTCAAGCACCGCGTGTCATTGTCCACGTTACCTGGAGAGTGCAACGGCCCAGACGACGGGCCTCCGGAAACCGGGCAGTGACGGTCAGGACTGAAAATCAGTGGCAGGTGGGATCTCGGCGGTGGATAAGGCCGAGGAAGGGGAAGCGGCTGGAGCTCCTGAGAGGAGCAACATGCAGATGCCACCTCCCGTGTGGGAGCTCACCCCTGGAGTTCAGGGACATGACGACCTGTGGACGTCCGTGACCTTTCCGTGCCTGTCAGTGGCTCCCAGAAAGCCTTACTCGCTGCCGTGGTTCTCACAGCGCTGCTTCTAAGAGGTCCGTCTCCCCCGGATGTCCGGCAACGGGGTCCTGGACGATCCCCACCATGGCACGGACTCCACACTCCCACGCAGCCAGCCGGACAACACGGCGGGGGCCCTCCGGTCGGGATGCCGGCTTGTGGTGGTGCCTTGTGCCCTGAACTGCCCTCAGTATCCGGCAACGTGGTCTTTCCCACGCCAGGACACACAGCTGGAGGAAGCATGTGACGCAGGGAGGGTTCACGAGATCTCAGGATTTGGGGCTCCGCTGGTGTGAATATCTGTTCCTAAGGGAGATCTGCTCCACAGAGGGACACAAGTGTCCCATCGGCCTGCAGGCTGAGAGGCCACCCGGCTGTACTGGACGCCTCATGCCAATGAACCAAAAGGCAAAGCCAGTTGACTGTCATGGCTTAGGTCACTGCTCCCCACTCCCTCGGGGACAAGCCTACTGCCAGACAGGGGCAGGCAGGTGTGTGTCTGGAATTTAAGAGATCCTCTGGGGAACCTCCTAGAATTCCCATTTCCAGCAATCAGAACCAATGGAAAACGAGTTGCTCAAACCAGGAAGACGTCTTAGAGGGAGACTCTCAGGAATGAAGTCTGGGTCAACCCACCAGCTGAGGCACCACCACCAACAGAAGTGAGTGGCTGAGGGCAGAGGAACACGGGATGAGTTGTAGAAAAGGGAATTTTTAATACCAACATCTGCCAGCTCACCAGGTGCAAAAGCAGGTGCACAGGAGTTCCACCTTCCTCTTCATGTGCTTGGTAAATATATCAATTCTTTTATTTCCCCTTTTTCATTGCAGCTCTAACATCAGGAGGATTTAGAGGGACTGATACCATAAATTATCGTTTAATTTAGAGTATGTCCAAGGGAGGGTGTGACTGCTGGAAAAGAACATGTCACAGGGGCAGAAGCCCAGACGCGGGGGCTCCGGGGTCTACACCTGCACCAGAGAAGGCCACATCGCAGGGGCAGAAGCCCGGTGCTCTCTGTCCTTACCTGGAGTTTAGTTTAAAAGGGGTGGTGGGTGCTGAGTTGGCAAAGGGATGGATGGAATGTGATGGAATGTCTGTCTTCCCACAGCACCACCCCTTCCCTTTGAGACCGCCTCGGCACTGCTCTCTACAGCAGAGAAGCCCGAAACACACAGGGTGGGCACCGTTCCTTGGACTAGAACATGGGCTAGAACCTGCCTGGGAGGTAGGGACGGTGGAGAGGCCACAAGTCACTGTGCGAGGCCTAGCGCACATGCAGACCTGAGGTTGGGGACGGCCTCACAGTGGGTGTGAGAGCTGCCGGCTGATGGATGCTCCAGACAACTGCAGTGGCCCAGAGAGCCCTCGAGAATCAGACTTCAGCTCTCCGAGCAGGACTGGGGCGACTGCACCCTTGACCCTCAGTCCTCCAGCTCTCCCCGCTCCTACACGAGACCCTCCTACCCAGACACGTGCCAGGGCTCCTGCTCTCCCGGCCACACACAGATGGGCACACCTGCTGCCTGGCACCGTCTGCCCACCATACCTTCCTCCCCAACTCTGTCCCATAGGATCTGGACCATCCAACCTTGCTCTCAGCTCCAGGGATGAGGCCGGACTGGCCCACGTTCTTTCTCTGTGCCCCAGTGGTGGCTCAGGAGGGGAGCCTACCCAGTTTGGCCAGTGAAGACAGGGGGCAGGGGGACCTGGCCACAGTGACCATTTTCAAGAGTTTCCTGGGTGACGTGGGTATAAAGCTCCCCCTGGACACTGTGTCATGGTGGCCAAAATGCTGCGGCCATTTGGTCCCAGGAAGGGACCCAGCCTAAGGTTCACACAAACGCGGGAACAGCAATTCAGAAAACTGCAGAGAAACGGAACTTGATCCCTGACCAATCAGAGCCTGCAATCCACCCTACCTTTGGCTTTTCAATTTCCATGCTGGTAAAGCCTATTCAGGCTGAGCTTTCAGATGTAGCCAAAAGCATCTTGACTTCTAAGTGTTTTCATAAGCCTTCTTTACTTGCGGATTTCTTGGCTAAATGTATTAACATTTGTTTCTTCTCACTGAAAGTCCAAATTTTCAACAGAGCTGTACGTGTAAGACTGATAGTTTCGTTCCACTTGTTCTTCTGCTGGCTGGTGTAAGTCACCAGGTTCTCCGTGTACTGCAAGATCGACTTTAAGAACCTGTTTTAACAAAAAGAAATTAATTTCTTTATTCTATTATAAAATGCAACAATGATTTAAATGCACTCTTTTCGTTTTGGAATTTAAAGTACTGCACTTAAGGGGTGCCTGGGTGGCTCAGTTGGTTGAGCGACTGCCTTCGGCTCAGGTCATGATCTCAGGGTCCTGGGATCGAGTCCTGTATCGGGCTCCCTGCTCAGCAGAAAGCCTGCTTCTCCCTCTCCCACTCCCCCTCCTTGTGTTCCCTCCCTCACTGTGTCTCTGTCAAATAAATAAAATCTTAAAAAAAAAATAAAGTACTGCACTTAATTTTTGTCTGTAAATTCGAATAAAAGAACCACAAGCAAAATGGAAGTGAGAACAGAACCTAGAGGAAGAGATGCTGGACCCCGGACGAGCTACACGCCCGAGCGCCTTGTTAAACTTACTCTCACATCAGGTAAGATGGTTGCATGTGATGGAACTGCACTCCAGAAAAGGCGTTAGAGACCGCCTGGATTAAATGCCATGTGAGCATGCAATGCACACAATGGGGAGCGTGCAGGCCCTGCAGCCCCACGGGGGTGCCTCTCTGGCCCCGGGCATCCCACACCTGCCCTTGCAATGCAGGTGCTGTCTCCCGGAAGACACTTTCCACTTGGACACAGCACTGCTGAGAGGTGTTTATCAAACGGTTCCCAGGCTCTTCTCCAGCGGGTGGGGATCAGGTCATGCTTCTATTTTCCAAGTTCTCCCCAGTTTGCCAAGTAGGCTGGCAACATTCCCCAACTTCTAATTCTGAATATTTTCAAACTTAGAAGTTAAAGGAAGAGTATAATGAAAGTCCACAGATCCTTCATCTAGAGAGTGGTCCTCAGCTGCGGATGTCTTTGTATCTGGCAACGTCTGCATCATTTTGGGCTGTCACCATGCGGAGCTACCGGCACGCAATGCTGGGGGTCAGGGAGCTACTCCCACCATGCATGCTCAGATGGCCCACCACAGACGACCCCCCCAGCGCAGAATGTGGGGGCGGGGGGGGCTCACGTGGAGCCACCGATCCGTAACATTCTGCGTGGCGGCCACCCTGGTTCCCACCTGGGTTCCACGTTTCTTTAAGAAAATAACAGTCCTACTTTCACATTTACTTTAAACATGAGGTACGTGCTCCCTGCAATATCACTCTCTGCGTGGCGGTGGTGTTATGACAGAGTGAGGAATTCTGAAAGCATCTGCCAGCTCATCCCATTTAATTTTCTGAAATAAGCCTACATGGGTGTTAGTTTCAAAAGTTCACAAACTTGCACCAAAATCCACAGAGAAAAACAGTAAAGAGCCAACCAAGACTGTGGGCTTAAAAAAATAATGAAATAAAATAACCAATAGAAGTGAAATCACTTAAATTTACTAAAACAGTTTCATTTCTTATACATACAACACACTTACTTTAGATACTGTTGATATTCGTAAGTATTTTTTCCATGAACCACATGAATGTTGACCAATTCCAGGGCAATCAGCAATAAAATCAGGTAAAGCACAGGAGACAGAAGCTTAACACTAAAAAAGATGAAGTAAGGTAAAATTTGACAAACGTAAGAATTTTGCACTTTCATCAGTGAAAACTCTTTTTCAAAGGAACTTAAACTCAGCCTTCTCGAGGCCGCTCTGTGGCGGTTTCCCTGTGGGCCCCCGCCCCGCCCCCGGAGCGCCGGCCTCCCAGCCGCCGCAGCTCAGGAGCAAGACGGCACTGGCTCTGCGTCCAGCAGTTCCTCTGGCTCTGGGTCTCTGTCTGCAGCGTCTGTCCTATGCTCTGGTATTTGGTAAACGACTCCCACAAGAAGAAACACAGATGGCTCAAACCTGGAAATGTGTTCAATGTCTCCAGGACACAAAGATATTCTGATCAAAGTAAGATACTATCTCGTGCTCATGAAACCGGTAGGGAATTCTTCTGAAATATACCGTTTGGGGAAGGATGTAACGTAACAGGCACCATCGTATAAACTGCTGGTTAGAGCGTACCTTTCAGAAGCAGCCAAGGAAAACCCGTTAAAGGCTTTACAGATTCAGATACCACTCAACCAGAGTTCTAGGAATTTGTCCAAAACGGTAATTTCTTAAGGATGTAGAACATCCTAAAATACACAACACGTAAAGAACCAGAATGCTGGCATACGCAAGTTAACCTGCTGTTAATATTTTAAATCCAGATACTCATTTGGGTCAGTGGCACCCATATTATATTCTCTTACACCAAAATCACAACAGCATTTAACACACTACGTGTCCTCTGCAAGTGAGTACTCCCCTGAAAGTAGGAATCAGAGCTGCATCCCAACAGAACCCCTGCCCAGCGGGGCATCTCCGGACCAGGCCCGCGAGCCACACACCTAGTGAGCATGTGCAGGTAGGTCTGCCTCTGCCGGGAGCGCAGTCTCCTTTCCACCCACTGCTGGTGTCTCAGCTCCACAGAGGCAGCGACCTGGCTGGACACGCGGGCGCAGTGTGCGCTGATGTTTCGGAGCACGGTGAGCACCTCCAGAACGGTTCTGGGACAGAAGAGAGTTGGGACAGGGGTGCCGCAGAGTTCTTGGATCACCTGGGGCCACCTGGGGATTGGAATGCAAGTTCTCATGGGGCATGTTCACCGCCCGGGCCCCCCAACGCTCAGCTTCTGGGGAGCAGTGGCTGTTACACAGTGTGCTCAGTTCTGCAGGCCTCACGCACAGGCACGCACACGCACGCACACTTAACTGTGGGGGGCAGAGTGTGCAAGAGAGCCCCGTCACGCACACCAGCACCTCACGAGCCACGGAGGGTGGGCTCCCCGGTCTGTGGTGGCACAGCCACAGTGGGGCCGAATGCCGCCGCAAGCCCACAGTTGTTACGACACAGAAAACAGCTGAGTGCGGGAGCCCGACGCGGCTGGTCAGCGCCCCAGCAATTCCTGACACTTCTGGGAGACTCACCTCTCGGCGGGAAGACTGTCCCAGTCGCTGACAACACCACGGCTCTCGGGCAAGTGGCGGGGCAGGGCTCTCAGGATTTCTGTGATTAAAGCCTCGCAGGCCTGTGTTTCAGAAGTACCTTCTAATCTGAAAAACAGAAGGTATGCAGATCAGCCCAAGCAGTGCCATGCAAATGTTTAATGGTTCACTTAATCTGCAACGTAGTTTTCCCAAATATAAAATGAAAAACCCACTGTCAGAGGCAATAGTAAAAATAAACGACAGGCTAAAAGCAACATACGTTGTTGACAAAAGCAACAAACCATCTAAGTTATTACTCCTACGAGATGGATCTGCTATATCCTGATTCCAAAATCTCTATCCCTACTTCTCTCCTGACCTTTAGATCCTACGTCTAATCACCCACTAAATATTTCGAGCAGACACCAACCTCCTCCCCACAAAGCCTGCCTCTGTTCCTGTGTTCATGGTCTCCCCAAATGGCCCACCACCGGCTGGGCCCTCAGCGGGGAGACTGCGCCCCCTGCGCCTCCACCAAGTGGCCTGCCCTGCCCACCGAGGCCTACCAAGCCCCCTGCACTTGGTCTTCCCGTGGCGCCGCTAAGACCTCACGTGGAGGTTGGCGTCCACTGGGGACTGTGAGGTCTGCATGACCCCAGGACAGAACTCACCTGGCTGCCTCCTCGGCCTCTTCAGGCAAAGGCAGAAGGGGCCAAACCCTGATGCTCTTCTCACAGCTCAGCACCTGAGAGAAAAATGTCCTACTGCTTTTAAAGATTTTACAGTAACAGTCTGGAAAATATTTTTGTAACTATTACGAACGTAGCAATCACTTTCTAGGAGATATATATTGGCAAAATTGTTACAGATCTTACATTTTAAAATCAGGTGGTGGGTCTCAGTTACTCAATACCATCAGATAAGTGAAGGCCAGTGAAATTAACAGGAGATTAGGAGGTAATTAACATGTGGAGTAGTTGTAAAACATAATCAGCAAACTCCTGACGCCCCTGTTGAGAGTGGCGGTCCTCGTCCCCTCCTGAATCAGGACGTGCTTTGGTGAGTGGCCTTCCCCCAGACAACACAGTGGAAGTGAGGATGTGTGTGATTCTGGAAGCCAGGTCAGAAAGGGCGGCACCTCTCCCTGGTTCGCTGGGAGGCGCCGCACCAACTTCTCATCTTCTCAGATGGAACACCAAACCAGGGAAGCCCATGCCAAATTTCTGACTCACGAAAGTGTAAGCAAATTAAACATTGACACCACTGAATGTGGGTAATTTATGCAGCAGTAGTTAGTAGAGCAATGACCTTAAAAAGAACGGATGCAAGACTGCTAAACGAAAAATGAATACATCACGGGCAGCAAGAATAAGAAGCTGCAGGGGAGGGTGAGGGTCAGATACACCCACTGGGGGGCACGGAGGGGCCTCCACCAGGGCCGTGGCAGCAGCGGCCAAGGAGCAGGGGGGCTCGTGAGGCTGGAGATTCGGCCGCAGAGGTCTACGGGCAAATCCTGCCTTCCTGAAGCTTCTCTTCCTTCTGGGACGTCCCCCTTCTCTGTCCCTTCCCTTCCTCCCTCCTGACTCTGCAGGTCAGGGTGCTGCAGGCACCTGGCGTCCTCCCTTGCAGCCCGATGACTCGCTGCTGAACTAGAACCCACGGGGCACGGGTATTCGGGTTGAATTCTTTCCTCACGTAGCACCAGGAGAGTAAAACACCTCTAGAACTCTCTGCACATCCACTGCCGACAGCCCCTTCTAACTGACACTACTTCTCTTAAGACTTCATCAGTGACACTCCGTCGTCTCGGGCAGTTTCTTCCAGCTGCCGCTGTAAATCTCTCCCTAAACCCTTATGTGTGGATCCCACAGCTTCCATTTAGAGGCCAGCACTGATGAATGTCTGCATTAGCAACTATCATGACTATTCTACTCTTAGAGACAACCCCATCCTTGCCCCTTGCACATTCATATCCAGCTACATGGAAAATAAGGCACCCAAGCTCATTTCCATACTGGAACCTCCTGGCAGAAATGCTTCAAAGTCTGCGGTTTCCATGACCTAATTTACACGGGAACAAGCTCTGGTCTTGCCTGGTAAAAGGAACACTGCCCAAGTGAAGGCAACGACCTGCTGACCCAGCTGCCATACCTCAAGTACTAAAATCACCGGAAACAACAAACACCATCATTACTGGTCTGCCGAACGTCAGATGTGAGGCTCGGAGTGACGGAGCTATGTGGCCAAGGCCACCTCCTGAGCACAGCCTCCGGTCGCAGCCCTGAAGCCCAGCCTGCCAGGCCGCCTGGACCAGTGGGCATCTCTGCTGCAAGTGCCGTGCACGCCCCTCCCGATAGCCCACGTGCGGCTCACCTGTTTTTTAAGCTGAGCAACTGGGTGGAAGTGGGCGTGGTAACCCTCCGCAAGACCAACCAGTGACTTTATCGCTGCTTTTTCCTGGTTCAGAAAAAACAGACAAGGGTTACCGCGACGTGTGGTCAGGCCCCCAGTTTTCTCCTGCTGAATGCGAGTCACACGAGAGCCCCCGTCTCACCATGTTACTTCAGCTGTAACAGAGCAAGACTCTTCACCAAAACAGGTCTGAGACAGTGGTCAAATCATAACCAACAGAGGTGTTTTAAATGAAGCCAATTAACAATGATAAATAACAAAGGCCACATCCGCTTTGTTCAAAATCAGTGGCACTAGAAATACATAATAAGACTCTAAAATGGAAAATAAGAATGTCTCCAAAAAAAAATAGAATGGGAATTTAAACATTAAAAATCAGTACAACCAAAAGAGAGTCATATTGCTACACATGTAAATGTTGAAAAACAGAGTAAAAATAACATTATTTACACCTGATATAACTGTGTGGCTGGAAAATCCATGCTGGCTGACTAAAAACTATCAGAAACAAAAAGAAAAGTCAGTGAGTTGACAGCTGACTAACAATACACCAATCATCAATCAGTCGCTTTCCCACATAGAAGCAGTAACTCCCCAGAATTCTCAACAGCACAAAGCGAGTCACTAAATATCCAGACGCAAACCTTTCGTTCGCTCAAAGACCCAAGTCCTACCGCACAGCACAGAGGTTCTGTGCACAAGGCAGGTAGGCCGACCTCTGCGTGGGGCAGCTGCAACTCACACGTGTGAAGACTAGTGATGAAGGCACAAGAGGCCCCGGGCCCGGCAGAGCACACGGCTTCTCATCTGAGACGTGAGACCGTGGGAGGGAGGGCCTATGGAGGACCCCTCTGGCTGCTGCACTAACAAGAAAACAGGGGGCTACCGCAGCGAGGGCAGGTGAAGGCTGGGGCAGCTCGGCCCAGCACACGGCACAGGAGGATGTGGACAAGCAAAGACAGGAGATTCTGGTCTCTGGATGGCGCTGCCACTTAGGGGGAGGCTCTGCGAGGGAAGGCTGAGGACACGGAGGAGACACCACGTTTGGGAATAATGTTCACTGTTGTAAAAACCATCAATTACCCCTAAATGAATCCATCAAGAGCCATTCCTGTCTGTTGCTTGGTTAGTCTTGGGCTTTGTGTTTACGGTAACTATACAAGTTTGCCTACAATCCTAATAGGGAGGAGGTGGGAAAATTCTGAAAGAGGAGAGAGATGGGAAAGTAACCTTACAGACATGGAACTCTGTCACGAAGGTGAGTACGAATACACAAGAAGACCAAGTCCACCGCACATACTACAGAGATGTCTGTCTTTCAAATGCTCTTGGGCCAACTTGCAAGCCTTTGTCTAAGAAAAGGAAAAAAAAAACCACAAAAAACCAAAAACAAGTAAACCTAGATTCTCTAACTCACTCCCAGATGAAATAAATTCCAGCTGGATCAAAAGATGTAAATGGGAAAAAACCCTATAAAGGTACCAGGGAAATGCACGTGTATGTTCATAATTTTGGAAAGCAAAGGGTCTTTTAAGAATAATTCCAGGGGCGCCTGGGTGGCTCAGTCGTTAAGCGTCTGCCTTCAGCTCAGGTCATGATCCCAGGGTCCTGGGATGGAGCCCCACATCGGGCTCCCTGCTC